TAAATACTAACTCTGTATACCAAAAATTGTGCTGAAAAGGAAAAGCAGTCATAGTGTACTCTTCAGCAGTAGACAGCATTTGCATCATCGTAATGGTATTGATGTTGAGTACTGATTTATCCAAAATTGTGATCTGGTTGTGTTGTGAGGATGGGGTAGAAAGAGCGTGTGTGCACATGCGTACTCGCGCTCTTTTGGTATAGAGTTGGTGAAAAAGCTAAATCCTTACCTTCCATAATGGGAGGTTAATGAATAATAATAAAACTGAAAAATCAAGGTGGAACGAGTTATAAAAATGTTTGTAATTTGGAACTATGGAAGTATGAAAGCAAGGAAATGGCCGGAAGAGTTGAAAATGGTACTCAGAAAGGAGCAGAAAACATAAAAACAAGCTTTGTTTGACTTTTAACCTATGTGCAAACACACCTTAAACTAAAAATAAAAGCAAAGTTTGAAGAAGCATGACGAATAGGAAGCCCTTTTAAGGAATGTCAGGGATGCTCTCAATAGGTTGTGAACATTCTTGAGGTGTTGGTTTTGGAGTTGATTTTTTTAAGAATGCCAGGAGGAGGGCAGGGTCAGGAAGTCCCTTGTTGCTTCTGTAGCTACTGGGAGAAGCTTCTGGGCTTCCAGGTACTTCTCATCCTGGGTAGGTGGCCCCTTAAGTCAACTTGCTAAACGGGTTGGCAGAGAGGGCGCCAGGCAGAGGGTGAAGCCACGTCTGCTGACCTGCGCGGCTGGTACGTGGTGCCGAGGCTGATGCCCAGCGCTGAGCCTCAGCTTCCTCGTGTGTGACGCGGGGACCAAAGTCATACCCGTCTCACACTGGCTGTGGGGAGTGAGTGGGTACATATGCATGCAGGGCTTAGGACAGTGCCTGGCACCTCCACTGGCAGTTAGCACCCAGGGTCTAGAGAGTACCAACACGTTTTTATTTAACTTTATATTTCGAAAAAATTTTTCAACCTTACAGAAGGGCTGTAAGAATAGTACGAAGAACTCCCTTAAAAAGCCCTTCACCTCTTGTTAACATTTGGCCACGTTTCCTTTTTCTCTCTCCACATACACATATAATAATATTTTGTTACTATTCGCTCTGTTATTGAAAAGTAAGTTGCAGACGTGGTAACCCCTCAGTGCTGAGCACGCCAGTGTGTGTCTCCTAGGAACCAGAGTAAAATGATCAATTTTGGGAACTTCCACATTTATACAAAGCCATTATGTGTGTGGAGACCATTATTAAATCTTGCCAGTGTTTCAGTACCCCCTTTCAAGCAGGAATCTCCCGCACACCCCCGTCCTGCCCTCGTCCAGGATCCAGTCCAGTCCCTAGCGCCCTGTAAGCTGGAGCAGTCCCTCAGCCCTAACTCTGACACTTGGGAAGCGCTGTGAAGCCACTTGTTCCGTAGAGCGTCCCTGGGTTTGGGAGGAGGATGTCGCCTCGCGATTGGATGCAGGCTATGCGCTTTGGCGGGCACACCACGGCACAGCCCAGGAGGCCCAGGGCGTCTGTTCATCCCGTGAGGAGTGATGTTCACTCCAGTCACTTTGCGTCCGCCTCTGTAATTAATAAGTAATCTCTGAGGAGATGTTTTTGAGGCCCTGAGTGGATGTCCTCTTCCCCGACGTATTTTCACCCGATGGTTTGAGCATTTATCGGGCATTGACTCTCGCCCAGATTCCTCGTGAAGCTCAGTTGCAGGTCATTTGGATAAACACCAGAGTTTGCTTTTGGCTGCCAGTGAGAAACTCAGCATTGGGAAATATATTGACCTTTTTTTTTTTTTTCCAGAGAGGTTTTATTCCATTTGGGACAAGAAATGCTCTTCCTGGGTTTAAAGTCTAAAAAGGCCAGATTCATTTTTTCATTTGTTCAGTATTTGTTGAGTACCTGCTGTATACCAGGCGCTCTTCCAGGTGCTGGGGATAAAATGATAAAACAAAATTTTAAGGTAGACAAAAATCCCCGTCCTCCAGGGAAGTCCATCTAATGGGGGAATCAGACAATAAATATGTCCTCCATCGTCAGGCAGTGAGGGGTGAAGGAGGCAGGGTGTGGGGAGGTAAGGGGTGCCTCTCTAGTCGGGCCGTCTGGGAGCTGGCCTTTGGACGGAGGCCTGAGGGAATGAGATGGGGCAGCAGGTGTGAGGCCTAGAGGTGGGAGTCGGTGGGGAGTGTAAGGGGGTCTCTGTGGCTGGGGCAGAGACGGCCGGGGGAGAGTGGAGGTCAGTGGGCTTGGAGCAGGGCCTGGGCGAGACTGGAGGGGCATCCCCACCCTGATGCCAGCAGCGAGGATCTGACCGAGGCCGGATGAGGGGTGACTGGCTCTGGCAGGGCTCAGAGTGCAGCAAGGTGCGCCTCCTCCAGGCAGGCGGGTCTCAGGAAAGGAAACAGGACGGCAGAAAGTGAGCAGTTGGAAAGTGCCTTTTTTTTTTTTTTTTTTTTTTTGGGTACGGGGCTCTCCCTGCTTTGGCCTCTCCCCTTGCGGAGCACAGGCTCCTGACGCGCAGGCTCAGCGGCCATGGCTCACGGGCCCAGCCGCTCCACGGCATGTGGGATCTTCCCAGACCGGGGCACGAACCCACGTCCCCTGCATCGGCAGGCGGACTCTCAACCACTGCGCCACCAGGGAAGCCCCGGAAAGTGCCTTTTTAGTTTTCCCTGCTGCTGGGGGGAGGGCAGGAGGGGCCACTTCCCAGGGCTCTGCGGCGGGGGCGGTCTGTGGCCAGCCTTGGCAGGTGGTCAAGCCCATCGGCCCCGTGGCTTTCCAGTCTGGAGCGGCCAGGGGACCCCAGGCCGGGAGCCCAGGGCTGCGTGTGCATTGCCAGTGGGGCCGGGCTCTTCTCTAGGTTGTCCCGGCCCATCTCCCCACCCGGAGGGAGCGCCTTTCTCCGCCTGCCCCGCCCAAGCGACACAAGGAGAGTAAGAGCCAGCATTGGAGGAGCACTTTTCCATGGGGGTGCAGGTGGAGGGCAGCTTCTAGAGGTTTCCCACCTGCTGCTCACTGGCTTCTCACGTGCCCAAGGTTCCACAGCCAGGATTTGAACCCAGGCTGATCGTTGCCAGCATCTCGTCCTTCCCCAGCAGGCTGCACTGCACGGGCCAAGGTGCTGACATTCCCTCTATTTCAGCAGTCTCCTGTCTCCTGAGAGCTTGGTGTGCTTGACCTTTGATCTCTGGCCTGTGACCCTGGGCTGTTAGAGGGTGGTGGGAATGAGAAGTGCCCAGAGGATTGCGAGGAGACTTTGTGCCTCCCGTTCCAGGTCAGATCCAGAGATTCCTAGGAAGCGGGGTGACGTTTATTTAGTGCTTACGTGGGTCCAGTTGACATGCCTTGTTTAACGATAACAACGACTCTCTGTCAATTAGATTTTATGAGCACCATAAATAGATGAGGAAGCTGAGATTCAAAGATTAAATAACGCCCAAGGTGGCACAGCCAGGAAGGGGAGAGTCGTACGCCAGCCTGTGTCTCCATGCTGCGCTGCTCTGCTTGCTAGAGCTGACGGGCCAGGGGCCTCTGGTTCTACCAGGCATCACGCTCTTGGCATTGCGCCTTTGGACGCCCGCACTCAGCTGCTAGAAGACGATATGGGCCTTCAGGCAGAGGTGGAAAGAGCAGGCTTCAGGGCGGGAAGACCATGGTTCCAGTCCTGTCTCTGCCCCATCCCACAGCGTGGTGTCGAATGAGTCTGGAATCCCTGTGAACTCTTTTTACCCACCTGTGAAATGAGCATGAAAATCACCTATGTCCTCAGACCTAGGTTGGTAGTTCTGGGTATGTAGGTGAGTCTGAGCATTTCCTGGAGTGTCCGATGCCCATGCTGGGCTGCTCCTCTCAGGGACCTCTCTGGGAGAGCACATCTGAATCTAGAGTCAGGGAGGACTTGGGTCCTTTGAGAAACATCCCAACTGATTTTAAGACAACATTTTCCTTCCCTGCTTTTAAGATCTATGTTGAAGATGTTGTAGCAGATGTTAAGAGAAACAGGAAAAAGGACTCAACCAAAACCGGGTGGTGTTTTACTAGGACCCCAGCCTAGAGTCTCTTTAGGGACACTGCCAGGTTTCCTTGTGATGGAAACGGGGGTTCTCAACTGGGGGCAGTTTTATCCCCCAGGGGCACTTGGCAATGTCTGGAGGCGTTTATGGTTGTCACAACTGGAGAGGGGGTTTAACTAGCATCCCGGTAGAAACCTGCAATGCTGCTAAACGGCCTGCAATGCACGGGACAGCCCCACAGCAAAGAATGATCTAGGTGGAAATGTTGATGGTGCCAAAGTCAAGACTGGGTAACCCTGGGTTGAAAATAGCCAGTATTTATTATGTGTTAGACATTGTTGTTCTAAGAGCTCCACAGGTATTAACTTGCTAATCCTCCCAACCCTATGATGTAGGAGCTATTATCACCCTCAGCTGACAGATGGAGAAGTAGGGGCACAGGGAGGGTAAACACCTGGACTGGGGCAGGGGTCCCAAGTGAGGAGCAGGCAGAGCCAGGACTTGGACCCTGATGGTCCAGCCGCCGAGTCTGCGCCTTCAGCCACTTGTGCTGCACTGCTCTGCGTTAAGGAGGCTGCTTGGATTTTTTTTTTTTTTTTGGCCACTCTGCGCAGCATGTGGGATCTTAGTTCCCCGAACCCGTGCGCCCTGCAGTGGAGGCGCGGAGTCTTAACCACAGAAACGTTTTATTCCTGTGCCTAGAAAATAAGAGGGAAGGGCTAGGGTTAAGGGTGATGAGGGGCCTAGTGACCCGTCAGTGAAAACCGTACATTTTCCAGATTCCGAGTGTGGTTCAGGTCATGAATTTAATGGCACGAGGCACCTCGTGGGAGTGGGTCGTGGGTGAACATAACTTCTTAGTCTTTGGCTCCCTTCACTGGGGAATCAAAGAGAGACCGGGCCCATCCTTTCCGTGGTGCCTGTCAGGGTCAGAGTGTGGCAGGACCGTGTGGAGAGAGTGGCTGACTGTGGCCCCGGGCTGTGTTGTGTCATTGCAGACGTGAAGACAACCGTGGTTTACCCTGCCACAGAGAAACACCTGCAAAAGTACCTGCACCGGGACCTCCGCCTGGTCCGGGAGACGGGCGACAATTACAAGAACATCACCTTACCGCACCTGGAGTCCCAGAGCCTCAGCATCCAGGTACTGGCCGCCGCGGCCTGGGCCAGCCCCGCGGGTCAGATTCGGAGTGCTGTCCCCACGGCCAGTGTATCTTCTCAAGCATCTGTCGAGGTGGTACCAGGGTCCAGCGCTCTCCCACAGCACAGGCCACGGGACACAGCAGAGAGTACAGCGGCGCCCCTGCCTTCACGGAGCTTACCTCCTTGTTCAGGTGTCGGCGCGTGAATATATAAGTAACCACACAAAACGTGAGATTGTGAGTGCTGTGGAGAAGAATAAGCAGGATAGATGGCATAGACAGTGCCGGGCTGAGGCTGTCGCTGTTTCATAGAGGATAGTCACCTTCGTTGATAAGGGAATTGACAGCGGTCTTGGGCACTCGGGGATCTCAGAGCAGTCCAGTTCGTGGAAAGAATTTCTAAGTACTCTACAGTAGCCTTGATACGGTCTCAGAATGGCTTGCCCTGGCCGGGGGTCTGTGAACGGTAAAGACGGGTGCTGGTTAGGCCTCCTCATCCAGACTCTCATCCCTGGTTTCACCCACAGCAAACCAGCCTCCAGGAGCTGAGTCACAGGGTAGAAACCCCCTTCCCTTGCTCCCCTGCATCCATTGCAGGGGGCAGGCGCGGGGGTTGGCGCAGGGCCTCTTCTCCCAGGGTGATGGCCGTGGGTTGGGAGCGTCTTCGAAGTGTCTGCAGCAACTGGGCTAGGTGCAAGGCCATTTCGCTAAGACATCCGACGTCTTGGGTCTGTGCCCAGCACCACCCAGAGCCTCTGCCTGGAATTGGTCCCACGTGCACGCTCAGAGATAATGTGATGGCTCAGGCGTTCTCCTGTAGAGTGTCTCTACACACTCCACCCAAGATGCAGGCTGCGGTGGTGTGGGACGTCCTAGTGTGGGAAGCTCACAGCCATTTGTCCCGGAGGAGGGAGGGTGTCCTGTCTGTGGGGTCTCGGGAGGTGGATTGTGCCTGGGAGGAGGAAGGACAGGAGGTTGGCAGGGCTTGCAGGGGGTCCCCTGGGGAAGACCCAACCCAGCTGTTAGCCGTGGTCCCCTGCACATTATTTGCACAAGGCTCCTCTAACTCACAGTGGCTTGATTTTTTCCTTTTTTTAAAGAAGTCCCAGCACTTGCTCTGTCTTCTAAGTAGAAGGGAAATATGTCTCCATCTTCCTAGACTGTGTCTGAGATTGCGGGGGGATGTCCTGGAATGTGTGTTCTGCTGCACTGGTTGCACGTATGTGGGATTCAAGAGAGGAAGCCTGTAATACAGCTGGTATGAGTCGTATATATACCTTCTTATAGACCATTATGCAGATCCTCTTGGGAAATAATAACCCCTCTGCTCTACCAACTTCTGCTTGACATGAGCATTCATGTATTCTTATTTTTTTTTTTTTGGCCGCACCGCATGGCTTGTGAGATCTTAGTACCCCAACCAGGGATCGAGCCCAGGCACACAGCAGTGAAAGCGCCGAGTCCTAACCACTGGACTGCCAGGGAATTTCCCATGTATTCTTTCTCTGCTGTTTCTAGCAAGTTTACACGCACCCAGCTTAATTGGCAATAGTCATTGTATTTATTGAGCATCCCCTGTGTACCAGGCCCTGTGCTGGGCTCTGGAGGGTCACCAAGATAAACACTGATAACGTCCCCACAGTCTTGTAAGGAAGATAGGCATGCAACCTGGTAACTGCAGTATAATGGGATGAGCACTTTGGCGGTCTAGACACGAGGTACAGTATCGACACAGAGGGGGAGTGATCAGCCCAGACAGCGGGGGGCTTCACAGGGGAGAGGATCCTCCAGTTGGGTCTTAAAGGACAAAGAGAAGTTTGCCAGCTGGAAGAGGCAGACAGGGCACTCCAGGCAGAGGGCAGAGCAAGTATAGGGGCACAGAGGACTGGACCCATTTGATGCATTTCGGGAACGGGCAGGAGAAGGCAGGTGGGGGCCACAAAGAGGCTTGTGCACTTTGTCCAGGAGACCAGGAGTTCCCACACCTTGCTGCTCGTCAGGATGGCCTGGTTAGATTTTTTTAAATACAGAGCACAGGGCCCTCCTCCATATCTACTGAGTCAGAATGGAGCTGGGAGTAGAGCTGGGAAATCCGCATTTAAAAAAATCTTTTTGTTCTAATGATCGTCAGATTTGTGGGCGATTGCCAAAGCGATGAGCATCCTGTTAAAGGTTTGAAGCATGTGGGTAACGTGATCAGATTTAAAGAATCATTTGGAAGTTATGAGAGTAGAAGAAGGAGGAAGACTGAACCGAGGCAGAGGCGGCGGGGAGCTTCCCTTGCGATTAAGGCGTAGACGTGGGTGGTTTGGAGCAGTGAGGGAAGGGCCTGGGGTGAGTCCAGGGGCAGCTTGGGCGATGAACGCTACAGAGTCAGATTGTTAGCCAGCACGGGGGCGTGGGCAGCGGAGTGGTTTACGTGGAGGACGGTGAGTTAGTTTGTCACTTCTTGGAACTCACGAGGTGACAGAACAGCGACTGTCCTAAGCATTTTACAGGCATCGTATCTTCACAGCAGGCCTTTGGAGACCGGCTTCAAAGCCAGGCGGTCTGGCCCCAGCGTCTGTGCTCTAAGCCAACTACCCTATTTGGCTGCTCAAATTTGAGGTGCTTGTAATTTCCCAGTAAAAAAAATGCGGTGGGGTGTCTGCATCTGGAGCCTTGGAGGCTGATTTGTGAGTCATCTGATCAGGGCTTCTGCGTCGGCCCAGGGTTTGGACTCTAGTCCTGCCGCCCCGCAGCCTCGCGATCTCATCCTTCATTTCTGAGTCCCAGTCTCCTTGTCTGGACAATGTGACCGACGGCACCTCCCTCCTGGGGTCCCAGTGGAAGTTGAGAGCCGTGCCACATATCACGTGCCTGCTGCCATTTCCAGCACAGAAAAGGCGCCAGAGTGGTGGCCGCCGTTGCCCACACAGGTAGCCGTTCCAGGGAGGACGGGAGAGTGTGGGGCTGAGACGCAGGCAGGGGAGGGGTGGCTGGAGGAGAGGGGCCAGCAAAAAAGAGCAGGAGGATAGTGAAGAGGGGGCTCGGGGAGAGGGGCTCCTGGGTCAGTTGCCAGTGTCACCTACAGGGAAGAAGTCGTGCCGGGTGTGTCCAGAAGCGGCCAGCACCCCCATATCGTCTGCGGGGCCGAGGCTCCCGGGCTTGCTTTCCCAGCGTGTTACTCTCCGTTACGTCACCCCTATGATTCATGTGGACTTTGTTCCCTGGCTTTCCTCCCTCTCTCATCTGGGCTGAGACATCCTGTGTATTCAGACCTCTCCCGGCTCTCCCAGAGGCCTTACCCATGTGGCCTGCAGCCTGGGCTCTGGGGCCGGACTCTGGGTCGGAATGTGTGAACTTGGGTGAACTTCCTTGCACCTACCTCTTCCTTCCCTGCAATATGGGGACCCCGACAGTGCCCACCTTACGGGCTTGCCGCACAGGGTGGTCCCGTGAGATAGGCTCATCACAGCACACCTTCCCAGCCCTCACGTGCCCTTCCAGCCCCGCACGTGGTCCCCTCAGCGCACCTCCTTTGCTCTCATCCGCTTTCTTTTTTGCCTTTCCACAGTCGGTCTTGTAGCCTCGGGCAAGCGCAGCCTGACCTCCCCTTGGAGCCTTCTCAGCACCTTCCTTGTTCTCAGTTGCCTCCCTGGGCAGGGCTCTGTGTTGGGCACTTTCACACGCATTTTCTCACTTACAGTTCGCACCACAACCCTCACTTGGGGGTGTTATTAGATCCTTTTGAGGAAGGAGGAAACCAAGGCTTAGAGAGATTAAATCACTTTTTTTTTTTTTTTAAAGATGCTAGTTCTTTATGTATATATTTATTTGGGGCTGTGTTGGGTCTTCGTTGCTGTATGCGGGCTTTTCTCTAGCTGTGGGGAGCGGGGGCCTTCGTTGCGGTGCGTGGGCTTCTTAGTGCGGTGGCTTCTCTTGTTGTGGAGCACGGGCTCTAGGCGCGCGGGCTCAGTAGTTGTGGCTCGCAGGCTCTAGAGTGCAGGCTCAGTAGTTGTGGCGCACGGGCTTAGATGCTCCAAGGCATGTGGGATCTTCCCGGACCAGGGCTTGAACCCGTGTCCCCTGCATTGGCAGGCGGATTCTCAAACACTGCGCCACCAGGGAAGTCCCAGATGAAGTCACTTTGCCAGCGTGCAGCTAGTTAGTGGTGGAAGTGAGAGATGAGCCCAGTCTTGTTGGGCTCCAGAGTCTGTTCATTCTCTCCCAGACGACATGTTGTTGCTTTCCAGGCGGAGGCAGAGCTGCTTATCTGTGGGCAAAAGCAGGGCCCCAGGGAGGCTGGGCCACACCAGGGCTCTCCACGCAGGGACACCATCCCCTCCCTCCCATTTATTTTTGGGAGGTTTCAGGTCAGGATCCGGCTGGCTTTTTTTCTCCAGTAGCACATTCTTAGAGAGAGTTCCAGTCAGAGAGGACATTCTGACTGGAATGTCCCTCCCTGGAATGTTCTCCACCTGCTGGGCTGTGCATCGCTCTGGCCCCAGTGCTGCACGAGGAAGCCACTGCTGGGCGGCCCCCAGACTCCACCCAACAAGTGGCACTGCCAGGCTCTTCTTGACCATATTGTGACCGGGCTGTGGGTCTTACCAGGGGGTCTGGGAGGCCCAGATTGTCCCAGGCAGGTTTTCTCTGCCTCCTCGCTCTGCATCTCAGACAGTTGCACTTGGCCTTGGCCCTGCTGGCCGACAGCAGAGGATGTGGACTCGGTGGGGCATGGGGGAGGATGTGTGTAGCCCTGGCCCTCACTGACACTGCTGCACCAGCGTTCCTGGTGGTGGGCAGAGGAGCCCTCCGCTGGCCTGGCCGTGTCGGCGCCCTGGCCTCCCATCCACCGCTCGGGCAGCTTGAGGCCCTTCGTGACTGCGGGGCGGAAGGGGCAGCCGTATGAGCCCAGCTCCTGCCCTCTCTGTGGCTCTCCAGCAGGGTTCGCTCTCGGATTTCAGGCACAGAGTTCACTGGCCTGGAAGGAAGTCGTGTTGGCAAAGGGCTCTCAGACCTCTGGGGAAGTGGAGAAGAGCCGGGGCTGGGGGGTTGGATCCCCGTGAGAACAGGGGCCTTCTTATCTTAACCTCCCTGCAGGCTGGCTTCTTCAGAGAGGCCTCCAGGACCTTAATGGTAAAGTGATGCCCTTGGGATTCACACAGCGCCCAAGGAAGGGTCCTCTGAAGACTGTTGACAGCAGCTAATCAAAGGGCGTGAGAGAGCTGGCAGCCTGGGGTTAACAGGAAAGGTCTGTGTAATCGCCTCTCCACGTGGCGTTTGTTCCGCTTTGTCACGAAGGGTGCATGTCAGCTGGGTCCCCAGGTGGGGCAGCGGTGCTAACCCCAGCCCTCACAAGGATCCCAGCAGGCTGAGAAACCCAGCACACTAACTTCTAGAACCTGAGCCTTTCCCCACCCTGGTGTGTAGCGGACTTCCTCTGCAGAAGAAACTCCCAGCCTGACTCTCTGCCCGTGGTCCTGAATAAAGTGGGACAGGGCCCGCCCATGGGACGCTTTTCCCGAGTCCTGTGGGCAGTGGAAGGGGCGGCTGCAGACCAGGCCTGTGAGGCCAGAGCAGAGCACGTGCACAGTGCCGGCCAGGAACCGCCTGAAGAGATGGCCCTGTCTGAGTTGCCGTGACCCCTGTGGGGATGGCTGTAGTGGGAGAGGGGGAGTCCCTTCCGGACCCCCAAGAGTAGCTCCCCGGAACAGGACAGCCTGAGTGTCGGTCCCCCGAGCATAGTGGCCCTTTCAGACTTGGCTGTCCTTCCTGGGGAGGCCTGAGAGCCTACCTGGCCCACTGTGGGGTGTCTCTCAGGGAAAAGGACTGGTCTGTGAACCCCCTCTCTCCCCTTCCTTCCAGTGGGTGTACAATATTCTCGACAGGAAGGCTGAAGCCGACCGGATTGTTTTTGAGAATCCAGACCCCTCTGATGGCTTTGTCCTCATCCCCGACCTCAAGTGGAACCAGCAGCAGGTAAGGGATTTCGTGCTGGGCCTCTCTGGCCTCTGAGTGCCCTGCTCCAGGCCGCTGGGCCTACTTAATCCTGCCCTTCCTCCTCATGTTGCTCGCTCTCTCTAAGCAGATTATAATTAACCAAAGGCGAGGCCTGAGTTCTCTGCAGTGGGAGCACCTAAAACAAATGTTTACACTTTAATGGGCCAGTTAAAGCCTCTTTCTGGCTCACCTCCCACCCTGGGGGTGAGGATGGGGCAGTGTTTGCATCCATGACCTCGCGGGCTGTTCCTTTACCAGCCAAGCTGGGGAGCTGCACCCTCACTTCCAGGAGCACCTGGAGCCCTGAGGTGGATGGTTCACCCTCTCCCCGCGCCCTGGATACCGGCAGATCCAGGCAGGCCCATGGTCTGCAACACTGGCCGGCAGAAAGTAGGGTGACCGACCCGAGGAGTCCCCTGCACTACCCGAGCCACAGAGGAGGCCTCCGGTGGCCCAGGGCCACCCCCCTCCTCCAAGCCTCTCAGCTCTGCTGCCTGGCCCCCTAGCGGCCCCTGCCCTGACCTTCTTGAGAGCAGCTTTCCCGGGAGCCGTCTTCACTCACACCGCCCCTACTGTCCTCTGCAGCCTCTGGCCGCCTCCTCTCCTCCTTCCTCACCTCACTGTGAGGCCCATCACTGGTATCTCTGGGCCGGGGCCCTTTGGCTGCCTGCAGGAAATGCAGGGTCACGTCTGATCCCAAAGAATGGGTTTGTTTTCCTTCCCTCGCCCATCCCGTGAGCTGATACCCGGCACAGCCTTCATGCTTCACTCGATGCCAGTGGAGCAGAGAGGTGTGATTTCATGTCATGTTTGGGATTCATCAGCAGATACCATCTAAAATAAATGCTACTATTATTTGGAAGTCCTGTGACAGTGACACGTGGAACAGCTGAAGACACCCACAGACATGCACACACACTCCAGGTTCAAGCAGTTTTATTTCCTACTTCTCCTTGGGCCCCTAGCTAGTGCAAGAGTCCTGGACACAGGCCATGAGAAGGAAGAGCCCAGAAGGGACTTGTAGGCAAAACGGAGGCCTGGGTGGGCACAGCTTAGCCATCTGCCGGGGGGTTCCCGCTGGGCTCATCTGTAGCAGGTCTGGGGCAGAAAGCCTGGATTCTTAGGGCCCTGGAGGAGAAGAATGTGTATGGCATGGAGAGACTGTTGGCATGAAGAGGCACAGTTGGACATCCCGCACCATATGGAAAATGTCATTCTAAGTTTTTAAGTTGGGGCCCTTGGGGATTTGGTTGGGTGACTCATGGTCCCCAGATTATCTTATTGAGGAATCTCGCAGCTCAGATTGCAGGGCTGAGGGCTGCTGGGTTCTCTCCATGCCTTGGCCCTTGGAGCCCTGGTGTCTGGGGCTTGCCTTGCACGAGGATGTGAAACTGGCCAAGGCCAGGGTTTGGGTAAGCAGAGACGGCTGGGAGGGTTTTCTGGGCAAGAGGAAGAGTCCGTTTGCTCTTCTCTGGCTCAAGACCTTGTTGGCCTTGGGTCTCAGGACTGTTGTGAACTCCAGGTCCTCAGCAAGGCAGCATTCAGGACGGATGGCAGGAAGGGCCGTCTGTGAGCCCTGTGAGATAGGGGAAGGGAGGAGAGGGTGAAGCCGTGGTGGAGCTCACTGCCCCGCTGGCCTGAGGCTCCCTTCCCCCGCCACATGCCTGTTCACTTCCTCGCCTGCCTCTGATTCCAGGCACATGGAGTTGTTTACTCTCCCACTTAGATGCCCTAGACTTTCTTGCCTCTGAGCCTTTGCTTTCCTCTACCTCAGTGCCCTTTCTCCAAACCCTACCTCTTCTTCAAGACCCGGGTGCCCTGCCTTCTCTTTAGGAAGCCTCTCGGGATCACCCTAGCTAGTCTGTCCTTCTTCCTCCTGCACTCGTATCACCTTATGTCTTACAGCAGTTACTTCTGTACATGCGATTAGACCATAAGAGTTGTGCTTGGCATTTTCTTGAACCTCCTTCCCGCCGCTCATTCCCCATCAGCTGTGAGTATGTAAATACTCTCATATGGTATTTTTTAGCAGGAAGAATAAACAGAAGCTCTGTCCCTTAGACTGTCCCACTCACCCTGGCCACGAGGACGCCCACGTTGCCTGGGGATTGGTCCTGCCACGGGGTCCCTGGGATTGGCTGTGGCTGACACTGCAGGCCTTGGGGTGTGGGTGCTTCCTGGTTTCTGGGCGGAATTCCGGGATTGGCAGCCTCCCCGGCCCTGTCCCCTGCTGAGCCCGGTTTACCCCTGCCTGTCTCCGCACAGCTCGATGACCTGTATCTGATTGCCATCTGCCATCGCCGGGACATCAAGTCGCTTCGGGACCTCACCCCAGAGCACCTGCCACTGCTCAGGAACATCCTCCAGGAGGGGCAGGTGAGCTGCCGGGGCTGAATCTATGCCGGAGCCCCGGGGAGTTACACTCCAGTTCCATTGCGTCCTGGGCCCCTTTCCTCACCCCTTCCAGAAGTCTGTCTCGTGAAAAGGGCTCCTCTCTGAATGCCCGTGCAGCGGCCCATGAAGGCTTTTAGGGGGCCTCACGAGGCCCCTGTTCCTGGTCCTGCCCTGCCCTCTAGCTCTACTCTTAGCCCCCTTGCCTCACCCGACACGGGCTTCCTCAGCTCGGGTTCCCGCTTTTGCTCCCTGCCTGTGTCCTGCAGGTCACGTCTGGGATGCCCTCCCATCCCGGGGTTACCTGCCCCGCTCACGACAGCCACATCATGCCAGACGTGTTTCTCGGGTAGACGGTGCACGACCTGACGTGTGTCTGTGTCCCCTCATCTACCCTGAGGGAAGAGACTGAATCCTCTAGCACCTGGCATTCTGGGATACTTTCTCTCTGGGAGATTTGCTGAATCCAATGAAATTACAGCATTGCTAAAAGGAGCCCTGGGGGCGAGGGGAGATGGGGGAAGAGAGTCTTGAGTCTTGGGTCCTGGTCCTGGTTGTGACACTTTGACCTTAGCCCACTGGATGACCTCAGGCAGGTCACTTCACCTCTCTGGGCCTCGGTGTCTGGAGGGGGTCCTTCTTCCTTCTGATTCCATTATTCTGTGGGCTTGGTCTTGGCCTGAGACATTAGAAGATGCGGCCTCCATGGCAGGCCTGCTGTCACCAGGGTGCCCAGTGGGGAAGAGGCTCCCCCCCCAGGTCAGGTTCAACAAGAGCTGCTGAGGCTCTGCCGCAGACCTGAAGGAGGGGCTGTGCTTGGGGCCACTCTCCCTTCACCTGCGGCCCCTCCCTGTCCTGTGCCGACTGCCTTCTGCCCCGCATGCCCACGTCGCCATCCCCCTGGCTGCCTTTCTCTTTTCCCAGTAACTCGTTTCTCTGCTGAAACAGCCTCTGGATGCAGAGCCCCTGGGAGCCTGGGAGATGCTGGGCCAGCGCTTGCGCCTGCCCTGGCAGTTCTGGCAGCACCTCCCAGGAAGCCCTTTGGGTGCCCTGGTCCTGGTGTCACCCTGCTGCCGAGATCCCTGGGGGAGCGCCAAATGCAGAATAGAATACAATTCCAGGATGTATTCTGAGCACGCTGAGGCCCTGTCTTTTTCTCTTCACCCCTGCGGCCTCAGGGATTTGCCTACAGCGGAAATTAAGTCTCCTCTTAATTCCAAGCCTCGGAGGCTCCTGAAGGGGGTGTGGTAGAAAACGCTCTACCCCCGAGCAAGGCTGGGGCAGGCAAAGGGAGCCGGGCCGAAGGTGATGCTTTCCTCTTCCACCAGGAGCCCTGCAAGAATTTGATGATCCGATTATGACTCCCTGGTCTGCCCAGGGCAGCCCTGCTCGCGTCCCCTCCCCTGTCCTTTCTCTGCCACCAAGCCTTAGCTCTGCCGCAGCCCAGCTCCACTCTGTTCTATGCTGAAAGGGAAAACAAGGCCTCTTCCCACCTACTTGATGATACAAGTCTGGTAAATCATCCAGGGCAGGATAGTCCCCACAGTCTTGGAAACCTGGGCCTGTCCTTAGCACCGAGACTTCCTAGAGGCCCAGTGGCAACTGTGAGGAAGCAGGTGTTTTACCAGGTTGGAGGGGGGAAGCCGGATCGAGGCCACCGTCCCCATCCTTGGGAGAAAGAGCCTCCGCTTTGCTGCTGTCACCTGCACTTGCTGACTCCCAAGAATGGAAGACAGGGATCCGAAGCCAACAGCGGGTGGAGAGGCTGGTCGGGGCCGTGGGCGGGAGGGGGTTCTGGCGCCGGTGTGTGGGCAGCAGGGTGAGCCTCCCCGACCCTCCCCTTTCTTGCCAGGAAGCCATCCTGCAGCGCTACCAGGTGGCGGGAGACCGCCTTCGCGTGTACCTGCACTACCTGCCCTCCTACTACCACCTGCACGTGCACTTCACTGCCCTGGGCTTCGAGGCCCCTGGTGCAGGCGTGGAGCGGGCCCACCTGCTGGCCGAGGTGATCGAGAACCTGGAGCAGGACCCCGAGCACTACGGCCGCCGCACCCTCACCTTTGCCCTCAGAGCTGATGACCCCCTCCTCGCGCTCTTGCAGGAGGCCCAGAGAAGCTGAGTCGGAGAAGAGCACTGATGTGTATGGGGGGGGGGGGAAGGGCAGCCGGATTTTAGCACCAAGTGAATTTTTTTTTTTAATATATTTTCTACTGGTTTCTTTCCAGCATGAGAATAAACTATCGGTCTCATTCGGTGTGGACCCACGGTGTGGCCTGCTGGGGAAGCGGAGTGGGCAGAACCTCCCACTCCGGAGGGGGAAGGTCTTAAGAAGGGGGTGAGTGTCTGGGGGTCAGCCCAGCTGGCCCAGAGGGCTTGGGGCTTTCTGTAGGCCCCCGTGTACCCGTCCTGGCTGTCTTCACATCCGGAATCCAGCTGAGCCTCCCTCCGCTTTCACTCCTTCCTGCTCTGCCACCACGGGGCGCTCTGCCTTCTTCCCACTTACTGTATCTCCACCTGTCTGGTGGGCGTAATCGATAGAGTCTTTCTGACAGTACTTCCTCTTTCTCTCCCCAGCACTGAGGTCACACTTCCCATGTGTGAGCCAATCCTGTTGATATGCTCTTGTTGACAAGGATGGAGCATGGCCGCTCCTGGAAGTGGGAGGGGCTTAATAAGAGTCAGATGTTGCAAAGCCCAAGAAGCCTGCCTTTGCCTTGGCTTCTTGGTCAGGGAGTCCGTGGCCTTGAGTTTGTTATCTGGGCAGGAAGATACGACAATTCGCAGGGAGCAGCCAGAAGATCAAATACAAACAGTGTCTCAACAGGGCAAAGTGACACGGTTGCAGTGGAGTCTGAAAGCCCTGAGGTTCTTGGGTGCAAGGTATGACCAGCATCACAGAATAGAATAGAATGTCCATAGAATCGCGAGGCCAGGGAGGGACTTCAAAGTGTCCAAGGCTATGGCCTGTAGGGAGCCACCAAGGGCTTATCTGGGAAGGTGACATCTACCACTGCTCCAGCAGAACAGGGACTCGGGTGCAGACGTTGACGGCATGCAGTTAAACACGTGAGGCTCTCTTCCCAGCCCAGCGGACAGATGTATCACACTGCTGGAGAGGGGCTGGCGTTTGCTCCTTAGCATGGGGCTGTGGGTTACTGGGTCTCGTTTCCTCAGGACACACTCTCAGGGGAGACAGGATGTGTGTCCCGCAAAGTGAAAGGAGGAGGAAAGCTGAAGCAGACGAGGGGGTAGCTCTTATTCTGCATCCCCTGGACTGAGAGCCAGGAGGCTGGAGCCAGAGCCGAGCGCCACTCATTTGTTCCTTGCGTGTTTATTTAACGCATACGACAGGCCCAGCGCTGCCCTAGATGGTGGTAAATGGTCTCTTCCTGGTGTCCACCCGAGGCGTCCTGAGCTTATTTCTTTGTCAAGGGGAACGGGGATGAGGATCCACTACGGAGTGATGTGCTGGGTGATCGTAAACCAACAGGGCAAAGTGACATGGTTGTGGTGGAGTCCAAAGCTTTGACTCGCTGATGGACTCAAGCCAGACAGTGTCCAGTGTCCTAAGCGCTGGGGATACGGAGATGACTAAAAAGAAGCTCCCGGCCTCCGGGCTAGTGGGCGGACAGACGGTCCTCAGCCCGAGGGGTGCAGAATGAGAACCACCCCCTCCTCTGCCTCGGCTTTCCTCCTGCCTTCCCTTAGCAGAACCCAGCATCCCGCCGCCCCGGAGAGAGCGTCCTGAGCAAGACGAGCAGCGCCAGCCCCCTCTGGCAGCGTGGGCGTCCTAGTGTGTTTAGCCGCGTGCCCTCGGAGTGCGCGCCTGTGTCCCTGCTCTCCTGGAGGTAGATGTCACCTTCCCAGACAAGTCCTGGAGGGCTCCCCACCGGCCACCAGGCCCCAGTTCTTGGCCGACTTTCTTCCCAGCGTGGTTGGGGAGGGAGGGGAGCAACTGGAGACAGGACTGCTGTTCCTCGGCTCCTCTCTGTTTGCCCAGAGGTTTCCTCATAGAGCAGAATTGCTGAGTGTTCTGTCAGCATTCCTTCAGGACACTGAGAAAAATAACATTTCAGGAGGAGTTGGGCAGTTAGCTCCACATTGCCTGACTCTGTTGGATACAGATCCTCAAATGGAGAAACAAATCAAACGATTACGTACAAAGTAATATTTGAAAATGTTTCTCTTGTAATGCTTCTATTCCAAAACAGTTTAATGTATCTATTGTATTTCTGAATAGGCTGACGTGGGTCTGCTAACTCTGCCTTCTCAGAAAGGACTAAATCTTTATTCCAGACCCGTATATTGAACCCTAAAGTGGTCTTTCTTTTGTAAGAAGATGCTGATAATTAACAGTAGTTGTTTTTTAAAAATCCTCACTTAGCAAAATAAATGTTGGCAGCCCTGTGTTCGCTCCATATTCTTACTGAAATTACACTGGATTCCAAAGTCTCTATAAACTTGAAGTTACCAAGTTTTAACCACTTAAAAAATAAGCATGGACTACAGTGTTTCAGTTCAATCAATAAGGTTTTGAATATCGACCCTACTTTTTGTTTTTAGACAAGAATATGGAGCTAGAGCTCTCCTGGAGTTTACAGTTTAGTGAGCCACGTAGACGTAATTACACAGTGACTCCATGGACACGAGTGCTTTGAGAAGACCTGGGGGGGGTGCTGTGGCGGCTTATGCCGAGAGAAGCCAGACTTCCGGGCTGAAGCCTGAGAGCCGCGTGGCCAGCACAAGCCGAGGCCAGCAGGCAGGGAGACAGTGGCTCAGCGCGGCCGGGACCTAGAACTTGGCTTCTAGCATGGGGCACACACGTCCGGTAGTACCCTGACCAGTTTCTCCTTCAGGATCATGAGGAAGAAATGAAAGTCAAGGCGAAGGGGAAATTGCTTCGTGTTCGGAACCGCCTCCTTTGAGAGCCAGCATGGTCTGGTGACTCTGGCATAGAACCTGCACCATAACCAGATATGATCTCG